GGCAGGCCTGGGGTTGATGAGTTCCCTTCCCCTCTCGATTGTGTGTCTGTTGGTTATTTTAAATGCTTGTATTTGTAGTTCTTGTGTTTCCCTTCCCCTCTTGGGTTTGTGAGCCGCCCTGAGTCCAGCTGGGAATAAGGCGGCATATAAATAAAACGAAACCTAAACCTAAACCTAAACCTGGGTAGCTTTATAAGCAGGGCTGGCATGAGAACTGTTCAGTTGCCAGACAGCATAGATATGTTATGTGGTAGTGAGGCAGATCATTGTTGGGGAAGGTAACAATAGCCACACCATATTTGAGGTGGTACTTGGTAGGCATTAATACTGTAGCTTTGATTGTACACAGGCAGGACACGAAGACAGCATGGAATGAAACAAAAATGGTCATTTTTAACAGAGGCTGTTTACAAAAGGCCTAGCTTTCAAACATCTTCCAACATCTTTTTATGTTTTCATGACTAGTTTTTCTTTTTCTTTTCCTAATTACTTGCATAGGGATTATTCTTTATACTGTTTATGATGTTCGTATTTGTTGTCATGGATTGCACCAGTGAGGCTAAAACCAATTTCACTGTATACATGATGTACAATGACAATAGAGACTACACTATGTGTGCCTTCTGAAAGAGCAAATCTATCAAGAAGCTGTATCCTGGATTTAACTCTTCCTGATAGATTTGCTCTTTCAGAAGGCACAGATAAAAAATACATTGGAAGATGTTTACCTATGATGAAATCCAGGCCTTTTGTTTCTAATCTTTGCCATTGACCACACTGGTGACAAGTCTCTCTGATTGTTGGGACCCTACAAAGCAGTTTCCCTAGAAATAAATCCATGACTGAGCACTATCTTGTTCATCCTTAAGCTCCAGGCCAATAGTCCCAGTTGTTCGTTTCTTCTTAAGAAACGAAATTTGAGTTTAAAACTACAGCCTGCGGAAGTGAATTATTTAATTTGAACCACAAAATGTGATTGGCTGGGTGTTTTTTTGGGGGGGGGGCAAGTGTCAATTCCTTTGTTTCTTTTTGAATATCTCCAATTGTTGTCTCCCCTTCTCTGCAGCCTTCCTTTCCCTTTGGTTGCCAGTTTTGACAGAGATCCCTGTTTGAAAGAACATGGAAGCAAGTGTTTCCTGTCTGATGACAATGCAGCCGGAGATGGCAGATAGGGAGGGCAAAGTTGAGGATGTTCCTACAACTTATAAGAGGAAGCAGGAAAAAGATTTGAAGGCTGCTGGTGTGGTTTTGGCACCGGTGTGGTGATGATATGGACATCAGCTCTGAGAAAACATTAGTCAGTTTGGAACTGCTGTTAGCATAACTTTTAAGGAATAACCTATGATCAGCCTTTGTACTAAACAATGCATTATATTTAGACTATGTATTTAGAATAATTACATCTATAGCAAACCATGATGTAACTTTCACATATGCTGGGTTCATTGGATGTCTGATAAAATCCTTATGTGAATAGCACAAAGTTCATTAGATTTGGTCTCTTTCAAAGGGATCTATGTGCTAAGCAAGGGCTTTATAGCGCATTAGTTAAACATCAGCTCTAAAATAATCAATTCATGGCCCTCCATAACAGCTTCCTTTTCCTCTCTCTCTTCTGTCTATCCAGAACTTCAACCCAAGTGAACATGCATCCAAGTTTAAAATCAACTGGGTCTTCACATGAAGTTCAGTCCCACTGAAGATAGCACCCAGGAGAGGGCATAACAATGCAAGCTTAGTGCTTGGGAAATCATTGTTTCGGGTTTTATGTCATTGTTTCAGATTTGTGATTGAGATGCTGAAATTAAACAGATATGTTTTATAGATGACTTCAGAGGTTAAAAAGTCTCCTTTAGAGGCTGTATGAGGGTCAGGTGTGATATTAGGTAAAGTCATGCGGGACCAGACTTGTGTTGTCTTGAGTTAATTAGGAAAAGTCATTAACTCTTGGATGCAGAAGATGAAGAGCTGGCGTATAGTAATCCCCAACTTATAACTGTAATTAAGTCCTGAAATAATGGTCATTAAGCAAGTCATAATGAGACCGTTAGCAATTTTGCAAGCTTTTTTGCAATGGCCCTTAACAAATGCTGTGGTCCTTAAATGAATCCATTTTATCCAATGAGCATTTTTTGCCAGAAACCTGGAGTAAATGCCAAACATTGCAGTCAAGTGACAGTGGGATGCTGCAAACAGATGCTGTAAATGTAAGCCAGTTGCCAAGAGCCCAAAATGCAATTATATGTCCATGGGATGGGATCCTGTCAGAACTCCAGAACCAGGTCTTAAGTAATTTGCGGTGGGGAGGAAGGGGGAAAATCTGTCAGAACTTTGAATGGTTAAGCAAGGACTTACCTGTAAAAGAATGGAGTACAAAAACTCCATAGCTATAGAGGAAACTGGTTGCAATATTTCTGGTGTTTTTGTGAGGAATCAAAAGCATAAGTATTTTTGATGCCTTTTAACAGATTGTACAAAAAGAAACCAAAGTACTTAGAAAGAAAGCTACTCATTGACAAAAACCTTAATGGCAGTGACATGCGGCATTTTAGCAGAAGTGATTTGAACTCTGAAAAGCACCAGGTAAGAGTATTTTTCTCTTAATTATGCTAATCATCTTACTGAAAATAATATGGATTTTTTAAAAAAATTAAATGTTGCTATTGGTGTAATGTATAGAGGTTTATAAAAGGGATGTGTAACCTTTAGACACAGCAGAATCAGCATTTCTTTGATATACCTTGGGTGTTTTACATTAAAAAAATGTATTCCTAGCATGACAAAGTTGCAATGATCCCTGACTTGTCCTCATCTGTAACTAAAGATGTAGAAATAAATTTGTCTCCTCTTCTACAATCTTTCTTATATTTCACTCTGCACCTAGGTGAACAAAGATGCCAATGGATTGTATTTCTCATTTTGCACTTGCACTATTATTTGAAGTTACAGGACTAATGTTATGAATGTTTAAGAGGAGTGTTGGTTTTTAATCACAGATACAACTGTTGAAGGCTTTGATCAATAATGGTCATGTAGTCTATAGTGGCAAAAAAGGAGAATGCTGGAAAAATAAACTCATGTGAAATCTTGGCAAACACTAAACTCCCTGATAAAATATCTGGAGTAAATAGTTGGAGCAATAGTTATGATCATGTATATTATATATCTTCTCCCTGTGAAAAATTGAAACTTTGGTTATATGATACATTATATGAAGAAAGCTTAATTAATATAAAACAGGTTGCCTCTGTCTCCCTCCTTCTGACATCCATTTAGATTCTCCAGGGTTTTATTTTCTTCCTTTGGTTTTCTGTTTCATGTAGAAATATAATAAAAATCTCATAATTTATGGATGTTTTTATTCCAATACGTATTTAAATGGAAGAAGTATAGTTTTCTGTTTTAATAAACAATATTAGCTTTCTCCAGAATCCTTGATTACAAGACTATCATGGGTCTGTTCTTCTCAAAGAAAGTGTGAATCGTTGTACACAGCTTTGGCTCCGTCTGTACATCACACTAAGGTCTAAGACACCTTTGAGACAACTATGTTGTTCCAGAAGGCATTGAATGGCTCTGAGTGAAACAGAGTGGCTGACAAGCTTTGATTAGCTAAGCTTAGCACGATGTGAAAGTGTTGAATCTAGACTTCGTTTTCCTGAAAGTACCAGAGAAGAAAGCCATTAGCTAAGTAAAGCACATTATGCTTTGTCCTTTAGAATAGTTTGTCCCTTGTTGCATGACTCCTGCAGATGGTTTGTCAAACAGGATTTGAGTGAGTATATTTGCATTTTCTTAGCTTTCTGTCATACATGATACGCAGATTGGTGCTATGTTTAAATCATAAGGAAGGATAAAATAATGCAGATTTTATATGAAACCTGATGTACCTTATGAATCTCTGGAATTCAGATGGCGTATACATTTCATAAAATAAAATCCATCTACTGATGGATATAGCAGTTGTAGCTCGCTGCTTAAATCCATGTAAACATCTATTTAATTCTTGTGAGTTAAGCTAAAGGCAGTTAGCTACTCTGAATTAAATGTCCTGGAATATGATATTTCTTTTTTTGTTTTCTCCTTTATGAAACAAACTGTTCAGCAGGATGGAGTGAAATGCTCTGATGGAACTAAGCCATTTCACAATATGCTGGAATTTTCAAGAGTTCTCCCAACAAAAGCTCCAACTGCCATGTTTCTTAGTCCTGCCGCCGGGTCCCTTAGCGATCGTGATACGGACTGTAGGAGACAAGCACTAGTTATCCCTTATTCGTCCACTCCAAGGCATTTACCAGATAAAAGAAGCCCACATTTCAGTGCCAAAATGTCTGTATTGCCTAGAAATTTCAGTTCCTCACAACCTCTGGAGGACACTGGCTTTGAATCACAGGAACTGAAAAGATCAAGAAGTGTTTCAGCTACTGGGGCCTGTCCATCGTATGAAATGCCTGTTCCTTGGTATCAAAACAACCTGACCGACTATGAAGAAAGTTCCAAACTGGGCATGCAGAAACTAACACCCGCAAGAAGCTGTTCTGTAGCAGGGCAAATGAGAGGGATGTCCGCCTTCCAGGCTGATTACTGGGCATGCGCAATACCTGATTTTCTACCACCATCGCCGGACCGTCAGTCCCCCCTTTGGAATCCTAATAAAGAATATGAGGACTTGCTTGATTATACTTATCCTTTACGGCCAAAATATAAGCTTCCAAAAAATCTCAAATATTCCACTGTTCACGATTCTGGAATTGATCTTGATAGCCTCTCCATTTCCCCCGAGAGTACCTTGAAGTCTGTGAGTATGTGGGACCAAGAACACAAAACCAGGGAGAGCCCTACCATACAGAGACTTTCAAATCCTTTCTTGAAAAAGCTTGAATGCTCAGTTCCAGTTTCTCATTACAGAATATCGCCCATTGGGAAAATGTCCCTGGCGGAGGGTGGAATTGACATTTCTGGAAGGATGACACCTAGTTTATCTCCTAGGTGCTCTGAGCCATCTCATTCCGCTTTTGTAACTGAGGAATGCCACAAAAAGAGACATGGGGGGGTTTCGAGGAGAAGAGCTACTAGTGGAAACTTCTTGCGCACCACAAGTGTACTGGCCTTTCAGCAAGAATGGGCCACTGATGATGAATATCTCTCCTTGCCACCAAAACTCATGGAGTTAGAGACATTGGCGCAGCGACTAGCTAAAGTTACATTGACTATAAAGAAACCTGAATTTGGCCAGGTACAGGATGACTTCCCCTGCATCAGTGTGAATGGAGAGCAGCTTCTGTCAGAGGTTCAAGGGGATAGCAGCGATGGTAATGAGAGTCAGTGGGAATTGTATTCTGACTCTTTCCATACATGTAATTTCCAAGAACCTGATGAGATGGACATTCTAAGGGATCGGACCAGCAAGGAGCAGGAAAGCGAGTCAAGAGAAACTGCTAGCACTGATTTTCTTGAAATAAGATGCCCAGAGTTCCTTTCTATGAAGGAAAAGAAGGACCATCACTCTCTTGCGCAGTGTATTAAGGTGATTTAAAAAAAAAAGAAATCTCAATCTCATTGTTTTAAAATTAAACATACTATGTATATTTTAAAGTTTTCATTGGGGTTCATTGTCTTTGTGAAAGCTCAGTTCATACTGTCAATCACCAAATTGCATGAATATAGATAGTTCAGAAGAATTAATAAGCTTTTCACACTACTATAAATTAACATCTCACCTTGTCTGCTGGGCAACATATCTTTTCCTCCTTTGACCTTCATGTATTCTTTTGTACAGGAATTAAGACCCTGTGTAGTGGCTGGTTTACACTTAGTTTAAATGGGAACATTTTACTATTCAGTGTTGTTGTACTTTCTGAGTTCCCAGGGACATCACTACATGAATTCTAGCAAGAAGTTCAACTGCTTATTCTGTCCAAATCCTGTTCCTTTAATTTGAGGATTTTCTCCAATGATGGACTATGGAATCTTCCACATCCTTAGCTTATCACAAATTAATATGACAATATAATAAACAGAGCTGTGTAGGGATTTGTGAAAAGCTAGCATACAGTAGTTACATATATATTTTGGGGGCCGTTCCCCCCAGAACATTGTTGATAAACATGCAGAGTCCCAAGGAAACTCTTAAAGTAGCTGCATTGAACTTCCAAGTCCCCAAGCACTTCAAAAAAGTGCTCTACTTGCACCAATACCATTTAGAAGATATTGCTTTGAATGAGTTGCCCAGTCCTGGTGATGATACATTTGTAAAACGACTCTCTTGGTACGCTGCTCTGAAGAATTTTGTTCTCTAGAAAGCTTTTGTCACCAACCATATTTCATTTTCCTACCTACCATTTGATCTTATCCGTATGGCTCATTTCTGAATTTTGAATGTATGAAGGGCAGCCAACTTCAATGTTTTCAGCTGTAATTAGGAATCCACTGATGTTTCCCCATAATTTCCCATATGTTTTTTCAGTAAGAAGAGTTCCTGACAGAAATTTGGAATAGTCCTGTTCTACATTTTTCTTTTTAATTTCAGAGATTTGGATTTTACTGTTTTGAAATATCTGAGTATTTTGTAGAATATAAGCTAGCACTCTCTGGAGTCTTGCAAACTTTGTGATGACCTTGGTAAATATTCCTATTTCCTCACAATTAATACATACAATAATCTGTGGCAATCGTTCAATTTAAGCCGATCAAATCCACTGGTTCCAAGTTTGAATGTAGCTTAATGAATACTTTTTTTCCTGAATTATCCTGAATTATTATAGGTGTTTTGCTGTCAGTTGGAAGAGCTCATTGGTTGGCTGCAGAAAGTGGCAGAAGTTACAGAGCAATGGATTCCTCCCAAGCCAGACGTTGAAAGCGTTAAAGCATCATTTCAAAACTACCTGGTAACAACTATATTCTCTCCTTGAATTTCAATAGTGGTGTTCTTTTTTATTACACTTGTAATACATATATATTTATGCAGCCTGGGTAATATGCAAGCCTACAATTGCTAACTCTTTCTTGCAGCCCTTTGTAGAAGACATTGGAAAGATATGCTAAGTCATCATATGTATTTCTTTGCATTGGCAGAATTGATGCTTGAAAATGGCAGTTAGATAGTTGTAAAATGGTGTGAACCCTTATCAAAATAATTAAATGTCTTCAGTTAAGTTCTTAATCCACATAGAATAATACTGGTCTCCTTTAATGCCCTGTATGGAATGCAATGGTACTAAGCTAGAAACTGGGAGACTGTGAATTCTAGTTCAGCCTTAGGCCCTAAACAGTTGGATGAACCTTTCTCTCTCAGCCTAGGAAAGAGGCAAGGACTAACCAGTTCTGAAAAGCTTGTCAAGAAAATTGTAAAGACCAGTCCAAGCAAGTCACCAGAGTACACTGACTCAGGCACGGACAAAAAAAATATAAATAAATAAAACATGGAATTCATTTGCATAATCTAACTTTAATGCCAGTAATGGTAATGTTTTATTGATCTGTTACATACTTTATTCTGGATGCTGATTCTAATTCTTGATGAGCTGTCTACCTAGAGAAGAATAGTTGTTGAGCAGATTAAAATATATACAAAATTTTCAAAAGTACTTCATTCTAATACATGACACCACTTAGCTTTTTATCTAGTAACTGGACAAAACTACTGCTCTGTGAATATAATGTTGAAGAGGTTTTCTTTCATTATATATTATATTTTTCGGAGTATTAAGACACACTGGTGTATAAGACGCAGCAAGGTTTTGAAGAGGAAATTTTTTAAAAAAAGTTTTTGCACTCTGCAAACCTCCCCAAAACGGCCCGTTTTTCACAAAAACGCCCCCCCTTCCCTTCAAAAAGGGCATGAATAGCCCTTAGGAGGCTTGTAGAGTGCTCCTGGAGAGGTGGGGTAGGGGCCCAAAACGAGCAAAACACGGGCCCATTTTTTGTCAAAAAAGGGGCATGGATAGCCTTTAGGAAGCTTACAGTGTGCAGCTGGGGAGGGGGGGGAGAAACGGGCCGTTTTTTGCTCATTTCTGCCCTCCCCAGCCCCCAGGAGCTCTCTGAAAGCCTTCTAAAAGCTATGCATGGCCATTTTGGTGAAGGGGGTGGAGTTTCGGGAGGCAAAAAATGCTGTATTCAGTGTATATGAATATGAAAAATATGGTATTTTTTGGAGTATAAGACGCACCTTTTTCCTTCAAAAAAGAGGCTGAAAATCTGGATGCATCTTAGATACCAAATACAGCATTTTTTGCCTCCTGAGGCCCTGCCCCTTCACCAAAATGGTCATGCATAGCTTGTAGGAGGCTTTCAGAGAACTCCTGGGGAATGGGGAGGGCAGAAATAAGCAAAAAGCGGGCCATTTTTTGATCAATTTTGCCACCCGCCCCCAGAAGCACTCCATAAGCCTCCATAAGGCTATGCATGCAATTTTCTTGACAAAAAACAGGCCCGTTTTCACGACAAATGGGCCATTTTTTGCTTGTTTGGGGGGGCATCCCCCAGGAGCACTCTGCAAGCCCTCCAAAGGCTATTCATGCCCTTTTTGGGGGGGGGGGATGGGCCCGTTTTCACAAAAAATGGACCATTTTTAGGAGGTTTGCATAGTGCAAAAACTCCCCCCCCCCTTTTTGGAAAGCTCTTTGATGAAAATTAGATGAAGTGCTATGCCAGTAGAAACAAAGTCTTAGGTGCTACAGATTGTTGGATTTCCTTCTCCAGCACATGGATAAATACACCTGGAAACATCTACCTACCTACCTACTCTCTCTCTCCCCCTACCTACCCTACTGTATTTCCCTCTCTCTATCCCTCTAACTACCTACTTTTTTTTATTTGCCTCTTCAAAACCTTGATGAATCTTATAGTCCAGTGCATCTTATACTCTGAAAAATACGGTATATTCCTGTATTAACACAGTCAAAACAACTCTTGGCGACTTGTACAGGGAAAAATTTGAATGAATGAACTCCCTCATGAAACCTTCTCTACTTAGCAACAAGATTGCTAAACAATACTAGGATTGGGGATGGGGGATATTAAACTTGTCCAAGGCAATCTTAAACAGATTAATTGAGAGGGTTCATTCATTTGAAGAGAACATGCTTGCAACCAAAAGTGGGATTTTATTGGGGCCCAACCTCATTAATAAATTGAAGTATCAAAAATTAACTTTTACCGCATTTTTATTAAAATGCGTTAAAATGTGTTATTATAAATATGTTTGCTAACATTCACTATTATATAAAATACTTGAGGAATCTACGCAGTGACCCTTCCCTCTTTTCTTCACTCTGTCCAGATGTCATTCACCAAATCTGCTTTAGTGAATTTTCTGACTCCAGAGAAGATTGTGAGAGTTGTATGTCAAAATTAATATATTGTGTTTAAAGCTCTCAGTGGATTTCACTCACTTTTTGAATAATAGATAATTTGTTAGTTTCTTTAAAAAAAATCATTATCATATAAATTATGTTGAACAAGTCAGTTAATTCTTGTCAATGGGACCTGATCTAGGCAAGTAATCAAAAATCACAACATGATTTTCCCCGCTTTGTGCATTACATTTCACAATATTTCTTGACAGGAATTAAAAAAAGATTTAGCTAAGTACCAAGCATTGACTGAAAGCGTGTTGCAGGATGGTGAAAATCTTCTTAAATGCATGTCAACAAATTCACCAGGTAAGGAAGCAATTACATATAAGAGTTTGAAAATATAAATAGTCCTCACTTAACAACTGTAAGTGGGGCTGGAATTTCTGTTGCTAAGCAAGTAGTGGTAAAGTGTGATGTCATGTGAACATGCTATCTGGTGACAGAAGTTCCAGCAGTTCCAATTGCCATCATTAAGTGAATAACCATAGATTTACTAAGTGAGGATTAAATGTAGTGGCCATTTGTAACCTCCTGCTGATTTTCCCATTGACTTTGCCAGAAAAGTCTTTGGCAAAGAAGATTGCAAATAGTGATCAAATGACTGCTGGATGCCATAAGATGCATTTGTTACTTGGGTGCCAAGCACCTTGATCACAAGTATGTGATATGGGATGCTATGGTAACTAGAACTTTAAAGATTGGTAGTATGACTCGTTCAAGTTCAAATGCCGTCATACATTCAAACACAATGCTGAATGAGTTATTGTTAAGCAAGGACCTATAAAAAGGGGCTGGGCCCATTTAAGGAAAATTGTTTTTTTTTATAACACTAGTTCTCGTTTTAGAAATAGTGAGCCTGCAAGTGGCAAGTTAGATATAAGTCTTAAGGTGTTTGTCAGTAGGATTTACTTCTAGTAATTTGATAAGGATTTTGTCTTAAATTACACACATTTCAAAGATGATGAAATAATGGAAACATATACTTTTTCTCTGAAAGCCAAATAAATTCAAGTTTGAGTTCTTTGAACAAACTTTAAGTGTTTTCAAAATTTAATCAATTACTGGTAAAGGGTTGAATTGCAGAACATTAAAGTATTTGTGGCCATTGTAGTTTAACCTCTACATTGTAGCACACATTTAGTTATTTTGATATTCCATTTTTTTCAAGCAGCTTAAGTTTCTGCTCCCCCCCCCCCTGTAATGTTACAATAATCTTTAAGGGAGAGTAAGCTAGGTATCTTCACACATCAGAAGTTGAGAGAAACACATGGCTTTATGTTCAGACCAGGCCTGTCCTGTTGTAAAGGTACCGTGTGTAAGGGTCTTATTTTCTTTTGACGCCCGAAATAAATGCTTGGTCTTACTTTTGGGGAGGTTTTATTATTTTTAAGGTGCAGGAGGCAATGAGCACGGTCATCTCATGACTGCTGCTATGTTGCAATATTTTTTGGGAAGGGCTTATTTTAGTGCATGCGCTCAAAAGCCCAATTGGGTTTATTAGCCAGGGAGGTCTTACTTTCAGGGAAACAGGGTATAGGAAAGAGTCAGAATATTTGCGGCTTCTCATCAGTACATGGTTAAATAAAGGAGCCAGATTCTGTAGCACTTACTCTTGTAACTTTAGTGTAGGCATTTGGAAAAGCTTGCTGCTATTCAGCTGTTGAATGGTATAATTTGTATTCTACTCTTTGCTTAATAGTTTTACAGGAAACACTTGGCTTGATTGCAAAACATTCGGAGATGCTTAAAAGCCATCCTGAACGATTGTATGAATCTATTTTAACAGCCATGTGTACTCTTGATGATGGCTTGAAGAAGCATTGTGATGTCCAAAAAACTGCGGTCCACAAAGATATATCTGAGTAAGCAAGAGGGAAAGGACGCTGGGAAGGGTGGATATTAAATAATACATTTTTTTGTTGAAGTATATCTTCCTGGATCTCATGCTAAGGCCATGTAGAATTTTCTATCTTGTGAACTAGCAAAACATCATTTCTGTCCTCAACTCCTTTAACCAAGTGAATCAGGTAAAAGATTTAGGGTTGCCTTCCTGAATCTTGTTCCTCCAAAATGGTGAAACAAAACAAAAACTAAGGCAAATAAAAACACAAGACGCACATCCTGTCCAGCAGCCAACATCCGGATAGGCAGGGATTATCACTTGACAATCAAGCAGAAAGAGTGTACTCTAATCAAGGATACAGTAAGGGGGGGAAAACCCATACACTCCACCGACACTGACAAAGACAGGACAAACTACTATATATAAACAGGGAGCAAACTCCACATTCACTAGCACTTAGGATGTGACCTTGTCAGGAAATGAAATAGCTGCTAACAAACAAGCTCAGAAAGCACTAAGGACTCCACAGTAAAACCATTCCCCAAAATGCACAGCCTGTATGGCTTTGGCCAGAGTGGTTAAGAATGCCAGTTGTGTAGTGAGTGTAAACTAGGCAACTACTATATTTTTCGGAGTATAAGACGCTCCAAAGTATAAGACACACCCAGCTTTTGGGGAGGAAAACAAGGGGAAAAAATCTGCCTCTGCCTGCCAGCAATTTGCCTCCTTGCAACAAACAGCAAACAGTACAGACAATATATATTGTTTGTGGTGTATTTCAGTGCCTGACTCATAGAAATAGCAAGGAATTGGATAAATGTACATTATGACAGTATATTAATGACATAAAGTTTACTTAAATGTATTCACACTAACTTCTCTCTACTTTTACTTAAATGTATTCACACTAACTTCTCTCTACTTAGCTCTACTCCAAACAAGACTAAGTCAGGGTCTAATTAGACAACAGGACACTTACATTTCAGACTATACTTGTAAAGAAGCTGTTAAAATTGATGTGGCTTTCTGGAAGTATATATTCTTTGCTATTTAAAAGAAGATACAATAGCATTGGGCCTCTTCAGATCAAGCATTTATTTTAAAAAGCTTCCTCATTTTGTTAAGTTGTTTAGAACAATAATAAAGCAGTCTTTAAAAAATAAGTCTAATAATTTGAAGATTCTATACATTTATAGTTACTGACTTATTTCCTTGCAGTAAACAGCCTGATTAGCACAAGAAAAAAAATATGCCTCTGCCTCCAAGCAATTTGCCTCCTGCAGCAAATAGCAAGTTACACTTTCAATTTCAGCATGGGCCTCCAGATCAGCTGTTTCAGGCTGCAGGGATTGCCATAGCCCAGTGATGGCGAACCTGTTTTTTACGGCGTGCCAGAATTGCACATGTGCTACTGCCCCCCTATGTGCCCACTCAATTCCCCACCCAACTGCACTTGCGCACTTGACCCCATGCGCATGCAGAAGCCTAGGGAGGGCAAAAATGGCCTCCCCCGCCCCCTAGAGGTCCTCTGGAAGTCAGAAACGGATTGTTTCTGAACTTCCAGTTGGCTTGTTGGGGCCGTTTTTTGCCCTCTCCAGCCTTTGGAGGCTTTCTTGAAGCCATTTCTGGCTTCTGGAGGGCCTCCGGGAGGCTGGGGGAGGCCATTTTTGCTTCAGGAGATGGTGGTTGTGAGCCTCGGGGCTCCTGGGTGGCTGATGTGCACAGGGTGCTGGGCTGGCTCCAGTTGCAAAATGTCAGAAAATTCCCCATTTTGCAAGGCGGCTCCCAAAGAGAATGAAGCGGGTGCGGGCGCTTCTTCCAAAAGCCGAGAGCCTGGCTTCTCTTCCTTCCTCAGCTGTTGGAAGAGCGCTGCGCCTGTTTCATTCTCTTTGAGAGCCACCATGCTTGCTACCATGCGAGGTGAGCGCTGTGGGGAGAAATCACCAGGAGGGGGAGAAGAAAACAAACTTCTGCTAGGGATGCCTTCTCCCTCTCCCCCTGATATCTCCTTGGCAACGCTCGTCTCATGTGACAGCAAGTGGTCTGTGTTTGTGTGTCTGTGTGTGTAACGGGGGCTGGCTGGGACCGATCAGCTGAGATGCTGGCAAAGAAGCCTTGGTTTCTCCACTGCAACGGCTCTCGGAGGAAGAAGGCAGGGATGCTGGCTGGTGCTCGTTTCCCTTACTACTCATCGCCACTCGCTCCCTCCCCACTTTCCCACCCAGCTAAGCAGGGCAGGCGGGGCCTGGACTGAAGCCAGCAGGGTAATGCTCCGTCCTGCAGGGGCGGCAGCGGCGGTGAACAGTAAGGGAGGCAAATGTCAGCCAGCATCCCTGCCTTCTTCGTCCACGGCAGTGAGGAAACCAAGGCTTCTTTGACAGCGTCTCAGCTGATCGGTCCCAGCCAGCCCCTGTTACACACACACACACCACTTGCTGCCAGGTGAGGCGAGCATTGCTAAGAAGTCCTGGCACTGGGGGCGAAGGAGTGGCAATGGCTAGAGCGGGCAGGCCCGTTCCATAGGTTTGCTATCATGGCCATAGCCTATTGCTGGCTCTGTAAGCCCCATTTCCCCCGTTTGCTGCAAGGAGGTAAATTGCTGGGAGGCAGAGGCTAAGGCGTGGGGGCCATCGGGTGGGTAGGGCTACATTCAGTGTATAAGACGCACCCAGGTTTTCACCCTCTGGGGTGGGGGAAGGTGTATCTTATACTCCGAAAAATATGGTACATCTGTTTCTGACAAGTTTCAGCATTAGAAAGAATACTCAACAAGAATAAAGTGATTTAAGAATAATGAATGAAGACACCACTATCTTTCTCTGTATTTATGTATTCCTTTATTTTTTTATTCTTTTATCTTGCCCTGCTCTTTGGATGTCCTTCCACCCCACCTCCCCCATTTTCTGAATTTATATAATACAGCGTAGAATAAGCAGGCTTTTTGATAAGTAAATGTAAGATTATATATATTCGGAGTACATGTTGTCCTCAACCTATGATCACAATTGAGGCTAAACTTTACATTACCTAAGCAAGACAGTTGTCAAGTGAGTTGTGCCTCATTTTACAATCTTTCTTGCCACAGTTGTTAAGTGAATTACTCCAGTTATTACAGTAGGAGCTATGGTGGTGCAGTGGTTAGAATGCAGTATTGCAGGCTAATTTTGCTGACTGCCACAGGTTCTATCCTCACTGGCTCAAGATTGACTCAGCCTTCCATCCTTCCAAAGGTCGGTAAAATGAGGAACCAGATTATTGGAGGAAATATGCTGACTCTGTAAACTGCTTAGAGGCCTGTAAACCTCTCACCACAGTGAAGTGGTATATTAAGTGCTATTACTAAGTTAGCAACATGGTTGTTACAGTAAGTGAACCTGACTTCTTCATTGATGTTTGTTGTCAGAAGTTCACAAAAGGTTTCACCTGACCCCAGTACGCTGCAGTTTCATAAATACATGCCAGTTTGTTTGTTTGTATTTTGCTTTTATTATTTTTAGACATAACTCAAGGCAGCAAATATAACCAACACCTCCTCATTCTCCTATTTTTTCCACAACAATCCTGTGAGATGAGTTGGACTGAGAGACTGGCCCAAAGTCACCTAGCTGGCTTTCATGGCTAAGATGGGACTAGAACTCAATCCTCCTGCTTTCTAGCCTGTGCCTTAACTACTAGACCAAACTGGCTCTCCCTGTTGCCAGGCATCCAAATTTTGATCATGTGACTAAGGGGATGTTGCAACCATTATGCGAGAAATGGTGCCATTTTTTCAGTGCCATTGTGACTTCAAACGGTCACTAAACAAATGGTATTAAATCCAGGATTACCCTTATTACTTTAAAAATGCTGCATTTCAATTTTTTGTGCTTTTTGGGTACAAGCCTAATTTGAATAATATGCTCCATTTCAGATAACATAATTATTATGTGATGCTCAGTAATTTCTATTCAAAATGTGAGAATAGAAATAGAATAGCTGTTTGTGATTTTATTTCAGATAAAACCTCTGTTGATGTGGAAGAATGAACTAACTACATTTATAAATAGTATGAAGGAGGCTCCCTATTCCAAGAAACAAGAACTTTTTCTTCAAAGTTTTGAAGGGCTGCAGTGACATCAAGCTTGGTTTCCAAGTTTAGAAGGTACAACGGGCTTTATATCTGGCAACAAAGTATTAAAAGAACAGTGTGAAAGGGAAACTTCTGATGTTGGAATGACAGAAGGTTTAATGATGCATTTCTAATGTGGATATCTATTTGCCAGGGCTCTGCGTGCTTCACAAATTATTCAGAAGTGCTTATGTGAGATACACATTCCACTTGAGCCTCAAAAAAAAAGTTACAGTTGATTTGAAAGTCAGATGATTAATGGACTTCTTAAAGCAGCAACCCTTCATTTTCAGGTTTGTGTTGCTGCCTGAAACAAAATAGAGGCTGTTGTATAAAACAGCCAAAATACTTTTTTATGGGAGATCCAAAGTGCTTCCAAATACTAATAAAAAAATGTATAGCCCTATTATTTGTTTTGTATTTTTTTGAGTGAATAATTGTAAGTCTTCAGTTTATCTCATGTGACAAATTATATGGAAGCTACATTTCAAATAAAGCAATTTTATTATTTTAAAACATGCACTGGAGGTAAGTGATTTCAGTATTAGTTAAATAATCGACCATTAAAGCTGCAATTACATGACTAGCAGGATTATTTGTGCAACAATTATTTGTGCAGGATTCATGCTAAAGTAATTATAATTTTTTTCAAGGCGTTAGGCACTGTTCACCTTTACTTATCAACCACTAGATTGTAATAGAACGTTTCTGTGCAAATTGATAAAGTAGTTAAAGTTAAAGTTGTTCTTAGTTGTTAGTTCATGGATGAAGGTTGGTTCTATGTTTTCATTATAGAATACAAGAGACTCCGCTTGTAACAGAAAATCTCAGTTCAATATTGTAGCATGAGTAGATTTGCATATACCTTTTTTTGCTGCCTCCATAAACCTTGTAGTTAATGATGCTAGCTCATAATTTCCCATAATCCTGAATCCATATTAGAGTTTAAAAAAGAATTGTGTGTGCTCAGAGATACAACTCTTCGTATTCTTTACAATTGGCTAATAATAAGAATGCTTACCATATTTATAATTAAAACCCAACTTTTGAAACGGAAATTTCCAAGCCAAATCAAGAGCAGTTGATAGACTAAAGATAATGTCTCCTTCCTAAACTGTTCAACTTTCCTTTCCACAGGAAACAAGAAATTAACTTTTTTAAAGGGGTAGGTGAAAAAAATATGTATTAAATTTGTTTGCCACCCATCTCACCACAAAGTGACTACATAGTATCAAATCTCTTAGTATTATTCATATAGGTAAACCTGAGCAAAATTACTACTAAATTAATCAAGTAGCCTGCATACATACTGATTCATATTTTAGCCTAGCATGATGTGCAAATAGCCTATAAGATACTTTTGCATGCTGCTAAGTGTTAAGAGCTGCACTTTTGGCGTTGCTATGAAGTAGTATCTGCATGACATAGATGCTGCAGCATAAATGGGCTTTCCCACAAAATTTATTTTGAATTAATTCATTTTAGGAAACTGCTAGTGACTGATATAATCTAAGGCACTAAGTTACTGTTCTGGTGGCATTTCAACATGTAGGACTGTTCAAAAGCTGAGATAGATTTCATGTAGAGTTTAGATTGAATTTTTACAGTTCTGTGGTAGTGATGACCAAGGCAAGTGAGACAGAAAAACATAGGGTTAGGAAAACACATTTCACATGGATTTTAGACATTTTAAAAATATACTTGTATGTCTGCGTTTGAATTTATATTTGTTTCCATCTTCTAAATAGCTGTAATAGTTGGAAGGAGACTCTAGAAGACCAAAACAATGGAATTTAGGTGTGGCCTCATAGTTTGCTCACATTAGGGCCACGAGGTCATGAAAACTTACTCCACAAAACATGAAAACCTAGAACTTAAATATTTTCAGACATTTACAAATCAGATTTACTCTTTCCCAAATCTTTTGCCTTTTGTAGACTGCTTCCCAGATTTAAAAACAACTAGAACTGACACATAAATTGGGGAAAAAAGTATAGTCACTTTGTTCATAATGTTAACAAGTTACTGTTTTAAAAGAAGCATGGATATAGTCTAGCAAACAAAAGTATTGAAATATATATTCATTAGTATTCTAAGCGTCATCTGAAAGTCAGAACAGTACACTTGATATTTTTTTAAAAAGTGTGCTCAGTTAATAACATTTAGAGTTTATTATTGCCAAGATCTTCAGCACTTTTAGAATGACCCCAAATCATCATTTAAATATTGTAGCCGATTTTCTTCTATAATACATTTATGAATTGATACAATACTAAAAGCATATTATGAATCAACTGATTAAACATTTCTCATTCTGAAGTACACTTTATTGTTGAAGTTAAAGAGCAAATTCAGAAATTCAATAATTTCAATCTTCTAACAACAGTACTATGAAGAATTAAGGTATTGTGTGTTCCAGTTGCAGATCATTAATGTCTATCCCATAGTGGGGATGAAATTTTCTCAGAGATTTGCTAATACATTTGCCTCTCAACCACATCTGAGTGTGTTTGCTTACAAAAAGTGTCAATGACTCCTTCAAATTATTTTGTAACTAAGATATTCTTTTATCAAGTTGGTAACTTTAAAACTCAGATATCAGGCACTAATGGATTAGTTTCTTTATACAAAAGTTATATATGTGGTCACTGAAGCAATAACCAAGCCACATTTTTGCTCAAATTCACATATGTATTTAAATGTTTCCTCCCTGCACAAATGTATTATTTGTCTTTTGGTCAGCTGCCTTATTACTATGCTTTTTTTTTTTCACTGTAGCTTTCTTGTGCCTTAGTGCATAACCAAGCCGACCAATAAATTGCACAAAATTTTATTAAAGTCAACAGTATTGATTGTGAGAGAATGGAAGTAACATTATTTAGAAAAGACATAACATATCATTAGAGTTAACATCACCTTGTTAGCTTGAAGTCATTCATACCTTAGGAAAAATACTGTTTCCTTTTCTATGACAGAGCAAGAGACAACTAATTTCTAAATGGAACCATTCAGAAATAGATTCAAACACAATTAGGATGCAAAGGGAAAGAGAGATGGTACATCTAGAGTGATTATGGTTCTATAAACAATGGTGTAAATTGTGTTCCAAGTACAGCGCACATGCCAGAAACACACAACACTTTGTCATGTAGGCCATATTTGCTAGTCATTCGCTGGGCTGGGCAGGTATAGTCTATAAGGAAGTGATTTTAAAGTGCCAATACCGCACACAAAAGGTTCACTGGGGGCACAATGCAAGCCTTTCCCCTTATTCATAAGAATTAAGACAATACTTATCACCATACAGTTTGATATTACTTCAAATAAGTACAATATTTATTAAACATTTCTTCAGTTTGTTACATTTTGTGCAACAAATTACAAGAGTCTGCAGCCACAAATTATATGCAGAGTATAAAGAAAAATCAGCATCTGCGATCCAAAGAACTATTATGGGATTGCAACTTCCTTTTGAATGGCAATCCCCCTCCCCTTAGTGAAATGCCCTGCTATTTCAAAAGGGAGTTGCCAAGGGAGGTGCTGCTCAAGAGTCCAAACCTGCTTTGGCTGCACACTGTTATTTAGTGCTGATCCCAGGTAGTGTGTTTTCTTTCCATTTCCTTAGAGCTCTACATGGAACTAGTAAATTAGATTTTATACAGAATGCCTTATGAACTTTGTGCATGGAAAAGTGACAGCCACAATTGTGCTGTGGAATACAAAAACAAAGACTAAACTTCATCTTCAGAAGCCTAAACCCAACATCTAAATGTGCCAATATGATCAGAACAAAATAATGTTCAAAATTTAGACAACCACAGGAAACAATCCGGTGTAAGAAAAAGTAACAAAGATTACACACATTTATAAACCAGCACACAAGAGGTTTAACACATTTCTGAAAATGAAGTTAGCTTTATTGAGATCGGGGAATAAAAAAGTCAGTATTGATCAGTTACAATCTCTGACCTTTGTGGAGACGATAAGATTCTGTTGTAGTGCAGCTACATACAGTACAATTCAGGCATTTTTCAGTTGGGTTCAGATTTCAAATTCGTTGTTGAGAAAGAGCTGGGAAGGAAAGTTTTAACAGCAACCTCCGCTGGACTGCTTGACTGGAGTGCTTTGAATTTTAACATTGGATTTCTCTGAACCACCTGCTGTCGCTCCAGGACCCATTCGTTTTTTGATCTCAGCAGCCATGGTCATGAAAGATTGTTCTACATTGGTTGCATTTTTTGCACTGGTTTCCAAAAATGGAATCCCAAGAGAATCTGCAAATTCCTGTAGAACAAAGACATCACTATTAGTTCTATTACCCAGTTTTGGAAAAGAATATATTGCTCTCTATTTAGCTAATTATGAAGAGGAAGCATCAAAATCACTTTTATACAACCTCACTTAGATTTAACTATTATTAGTTTGCTTTTTATATAGCCTTTCCTTCAGAAATTCAGGGTGGGATATTCAGTCTTCATCTTCCAAATTTATGCTGACAACTTTGTCAAGAAACTAGGCTAAGAAATAGTGACTACCACAAATTCAACCAGTGAAGTTCCACTAGTAAATACAGACTTGAATGTGGGCTTCCCGTGCTTAATTAAATGTTTTGACCACTATACCACACTCATTCTCAGCATTATACACCACCACCCCCAGTTTATAAATATTGCAGTGTATTCAACAATACTTTTCTGTTTTTGAAGATTAAAGTTTTTTAAAAGATAGGCATACCTTCGCTGTTGTATAATCTACGACTTTTTTTGTAGTCAGATCACACTTGTTTCCTACCAACAACTTGTTAACATTTTCACTGGCGTAACGATCTATTTCTTGAAGCCACTGTTTTACATTATTGAATGACTCCTAAAAAATAAAATAATATATTAAATCTAACCTCAGCCATTTAATATAGCGCTTTTGGATTCTAAGACAAATCACATTACATTTTAAATATAATCCCAATAGAGGCCATCTCTCTCCTTTGCTTTACAAATCAGGAATTTCTGGCTTGAATTAAGGAAGATTTCTCTGTGCCTCAAGACTCTTCTTTTAGGCAAAGACATATAAAGTTAAAAATAATTTGTAGAAGCATCAGAGATGGGGGTGGCGAACTAAGACTCAAAAGTGAGAGGATGTACAGTCACCACTGAATTCAATCATCTCTTCACCTAATTGTTGCTATATACAAAGTTACACTTCTCTATAACATGCTCATTCAAGTCCTTCAAATGTCCAACTAACAAATACTTACCTGATCTGTAACATCATACACAACTATGATGCCATGAGCTCCTCTGTAGTAACTAGAAGTAATTGTTCGAAATCTCTCTTGTCCTGCTGTATCCCACTATGAAAAAAAAAGTTGAATAGTGCTTAAAACACTGCACCCATTCTGATTTGATAGCAATAAGACATATACCTCACAGTGTTTCACAGCCTCTCTACTCGGTCTACAGAATCAGCATACTGCCCTCAACATTTTACCAACCCCGGAAGGATGGAAGGCTGAGTTGACCTTGAGCTGGTGAGACTTTAACTGTCAAACTGCTGGTAACTGGCAGTCAACAGAATTAGCCTACAATACTGCATTCTAATCACTGCACCATCAGGGCTCTTAATGGACAGATTAAAAAAACTTTGGTAATACTACTAGTCAACTAACTATTCTGAAATACCTACCAAAGATCAGATGAAATAAAATACCTGAAGCAATGAAACAGAATCCACTTCACTTAAATTAACTATAAAATATTGTTGGGGATTTAATGTTAAGATCATGGCATTACCAGAAAGCACAGGTAAAGGTAATTTCTTGCCAACTTTTAAAATGAAATCTAATTCTGATGTTTCAGGGCAAGCATTCCACACAATTTTCATTTCTGAAAAGGCAGCTAGTTTAGCCGTCCACATTTTGAATTCTGCATTACTACCTCCAAGGAGAAGACTCTGTTGGATCCAGGTTTCATTTGTCAACAAATGGAATTTTTTTGTTCAGGCCTATCCTGGATATACCCTCAGTCAATAGGAGTGTTTTGGCAAGTTTGCCACAAAGTACCTTCAAGCTACAAAATACAGAGCAACACTTGTTATATACGCTTAACATATAAACCAATTCACACTTGCTGCTGCTTCACAGAGTTTGGAACCACAATGCAGATTTTCTAATGGCATAATTGCCCTATGAAGTTTACAATGCCCTAGGATAGAGCATCTTTCGAGATTTACCAAGGGATACTTACTATCTGAAGCTTGATAGTCTTGCCATCTAACTCTATAGTTCTGATTTTGAAGTCCACCCCAATTGTGCTGATATAGCTTTCTGTGTATGTGTCATCCTAGGAAGAGGAACCATTTTTAGAATCATTAGTAATACTGTATTCCAAAATATCACCACCACAGAAAGGAAAAACCTGTCTCACAATAAACAAGTACTTGATTAAACTGAAGCCATGGTGGATAAATTTGCTAGAAAAAAAATGGACAGCTTCTACTTGAGACTGCTCAGATGATGATGGGAAGATTCAGTGAACATTATTAAATGACTGCCATTAGTTGATCATACAGGTAGACCTTGAATTATGATCACATTGGAACTGGGATTTCTGTTGTACGTTGTTGTGATTGTAAATTGAATCAGGCTTGATTTTATGACAACTTGTACAGTGGTTATTAAACAAATCCAGCTTCCCCAATGGGTGTTTTGCCAGAAATAGGCAAAAAAAGGCATTAAAGCATGATCACATGACCATAGATTGCTACGTATTTTACAAATACTTAGCAAGTATAAACATTATGGAGGCTAAACCATCTAGATATTTATACTATTTGTTGTTATTGATCCAAATATGAGAACGCAAGACAACTTACTGCAAACCGAAGTAGCAGGCAAGATTTTCCCACACCAGAATCTCCAATAAGGAGTAACTTGAATAAATAATCACTGCAAAGAGAAAACCACAATTATACATACAATGTTATGATGGATTAAAGCTATTTATTTATATATTATTTTGTTTTATCTTTATTGAAACTGACAATTTTTTCCTGTCAAATTATGCTAGGAATTATATAAATGGATTTTATACTGA